CATTTGTCTCTTCTTTTGTCGATTCACTCTTTGCATAGGTAGAGTAATAATACTGCACCGGATATCCTTATCTCCCTGTATCAGCAGTAAATTACTTTCATAAAAAAGAAACTCTTCTGTGAGTGTACAGGAAACTGATTTTTAGGTACGAGTTGCAGTGCATGCCTTTGGGGGTGCCAGTTCCGCAGCTTCTTCTGCTCAGCATCACGCCACTATCACCACATATATATATATATATATATATACATATAACATATATATATATATATATATACATATAACATATATATATATATATATATATATATATGTATAGTTATACAGTAACTCACTCTTCACTGATGGATCTCAAGAAAGTGTTATCAAGCTGCAACTGCAGCAGAGTATGTGTATTGACGAGCGAGGAGGCGATGCATGCGTACGGTGCTCTGCGGCTTGGGGCTTTGAGAGCAGTCTTCTGCATGCAGTCTGTAGATATATATTGGGGTCCACCAGCCAGCTGCAGCGAAGCCAAGTGAAGAAAAAGTTACTAAACTATAGAAACACTCAACTCGTTCGCTGCTCCGTGACAGCAAAAAAAAAAAAGAAAAAAGTTTTGTTTGTCTGTGGTTTTGTTGAGAGACTTGAAGCCGACGCAGCCACCCCACATCTTCTGCTTTTTCTCCATCGGCATTGAGTTGTATCCATACAAAATATTTAACGATTAAACTTTCTCTCTTTTTTTTAGCTCTCCGTCTGCTTCTCTACAGACTTTCTCCTCAAGGTGCGCGGCTTCTCTCTGAGCCTTGAAAGGAAAATTGAAGCTGCGCCGGGAGTGAGCTCGATGCATGCATTGGCTACGTGCTGCTGCTGTTCAGCTGCATGCTGCACGCGTTCCAAGTTCTCCGGGGCTTCACCCAGTGCTGCTGAGCCCATGCCGCCTGCTGCTGCCACGCACGATGTACCTGCTGCTGCTGCTGCTGCTGCTGCTGTCGGAGCAGGCTGCACTGTTGCTGCTGCGGCTGCTGCTGCTGTCGCAGCGGGCTGCTCTGTTGCTGCCGCGAGTCCCCGAAGATGCATATTATCTTTTCCTCAGCCTGTGAACTCTTTCTTTTTTTTTGTGCGGGGATCGATCCCGGGGTTGTAGGGGGATCGTATCCCACCACGCTGGAGCCTTTGTAAGACCATCACGATGGAGTGCATGCACTCATCTGTCTCTGTCTGCAGCGTCCCTGCAGTACGGAGCAGTCTCCTGGCTCCTCCCGTTTCCTTGGTACTCCGCTCCCACTTCTTCTACTTGTGTGTGTTGAGCTAGCTGAGAAGTACACGCTGTCAGTGCTTTCTAAGATATAAACTTCAACAAATAATTTAATATTTTAATTATATTTATAAGTAATGGATTTCTTTGCTTGATAAAGAAGCATTCCACCACAAGTTGAGAGACAGCTGTTGCCCTGATGAGCTCCGGGGGGTAATACAGATGAATATATATTGCTGCCATCGTCTTTACCTTTTTTTTTTCTAGTTAAGAGGATGCCAGTAATATAATATAATATAATATAAATGTATATAAATATATATAAATATATATATATTTATGTATCTCCGCATGCATTCTACACACGAAATTACACACCGAGCGAATCAAAGAACTTCTTCTTGCCGCGGCACTTTGGCTGTTATATTTATATGAATTTGCTCAGGATACCTGGGGATATAAAAAAAAATAAAAATGTTTTTTATTTTTTTTTTTTGTTGTAATTCTATTGCAGCTGGTGACAGTCCCCCTTACACCCCGCATGCAGCAGCGTCGCGGTTCAACTCAGCCAGGGAATATCCATTTGGCCTTTTTGTATACTACCTGCATGCAAATAAAAATACAAAAGAAGTGTTTACAGAGATAATGCATGCATGCAGCAAAGAAATATCGGTTGTGCATGCATGTATAGTATCCACGAGATGAAGCGCTGCAGCTCCTCCTCCTCCCCCGCAGCAGCAGCAGCAGCAGCAGCAGCAGCTGAGCTGCTGCTGCTGCTGCTGCTGCTGCTGAGAGGCCTGGAGATGATGCCAGCTACTCTTATGTGGCTCTCTATACCTTGAGTAAATTTCTGTTTATTTTAATACGCATTTATGCATTTTTTTATAAATTATTTTAGCGTGAGAGAACTGCATGCAATGAAAGTAATAGTTTTTGTATTATATATTTTTTTATATATAAAATATATATTATATATATTTAGTTAATATATAATACAATAAATATATGTTTTCTTCTCTTTCCTTATATATTGTTGCGGTGTATGTACACCACACACCACAAGCAATGAAGGATCCATCCTCTTTCTTTATAAACAAAAAAAACAAATCATTAATTATATTTTTGTTATTATTTATTATTAATATTATTAAAATATTTTATTATTTACTGCATGTAAACACCCCATCAACACAAAACACCAGCAGCTGCCTGCTGCTGCAATGCATGCATGCTGCAGCAGCAGCAGCAGCAGCAGCAGCAGCAGCACCAGGGGCCCCCCCTTGTTGCTGCTGCTGCTGTGTTTGTTCTTTTCTACTGTAAATGACTTTATAAAACTGCAGCAGCAGCACATAATTATTTAATTTTATTTATTTATTTTTATTATTTTCTTTCTTTTCTCTTTTTCTCAGCCCCGCTG